TATACATAAATATATATATATATATATTCCTTCATGGATTCAAATTAATATTAATTTGCAAGAAGCAGGGGGGCTAGCTTCTTTTGTTCATAGAAAAAGATGGGACACCCTCAATTAATTTTTATCTTTTTGTAGCTAGCTAGGCGGATTGATTGATGATGATGATGAAAATGAGCCAGGAAGAAGATCATGTAGATGACTGCTACTACTCAAGATTATTATGGAATTGATGATAATCTAATGAAGACACACCACCTACATTTTTATAAACACAAATCCTTATAATCTAAGAATCTTGTAAATCCATTTGACCTGACCTGATTACAGCCACTACTGTTGTCAACAGCTTCGTTTTTCTTATATTTTACAATAAGAAATGTAATTTAATAGTCAATTATTTCAGTGATGATTTTGAAAAAGATGTTAACTTAATTTGAGATCAACTGACCTGGAACCTGGGTGTCACTGTGACATGTCATTCATAATGTACTTTGTTTGTGAAGATCAGAAACTTTTCTTCTATCTCTCTCTCTCTCTCTCTTTTTTCCGTAAGAGAGAGAATCAGAGAACAAGGTATAGTAATAGTATATGAAAAGTAATTTAATAGTAGTAATCAATTTGCTTAGAATTTAAGGAAACCATCCAAATCCAATCCATTCTTGTTTGACCCGTCTTTTAAGGCATACAAGTCGCCCCGTTGTTCTCTCATCTCCAACCTAACTCTGCCAAAACCCCAAATCCCACAATTTTCTAACTCAACCATACTGCCAGTTTCGTGAGGGACTAGTCAATATATAACTACTACTTGGTGACCCTTCAAAGTTCAAAACGAATAAGAAGAAGAACAACAACATATATATTAATGTAATCATCTAAAAAAAAAAGTGTATGGCCTTCAAAAACCTCAGATCAACATCTACATATGGTTTAGTTTTTCAACTCAGAATTCCGAAAAAACATTTCGTTTCAAATCTACGTACATATCTATATTAATTTGTAATGGGTCAAATTCCATGTTACAGTAATTATCTGGGGAAAACAGTATTAGTTAGCTATCTTTCTTTACATTACTGGGGTCATCATATCTTTCCGAAATTCTCTTTGAATCCCATCCTTTTATTTTAGTTTTATCTAATAAAAGAATTCCAAGGTTACCTCTCATTTACTATGACTCAAAAAAAAAATTTAGTATTACTTTCTATGATAAATTATTGTATAATATATTAATATATGATAAATATTTTAAGATTTTTTATTTAAAACCTCATAACCTTATAGTTACGACACTCCCTTCACTTCATGCTAGAGAAAAATTAAAAAAATAATAATAATAAAGAGTGAAAGTCATTCCTAGTGGCCTCTTCCCTTTCGTTCCCTACCCAAAGGAACTGTATGCTATTCATAGTTCTGGGGGAAAAGGATACATGGCAGAAGTTGGGTAGTTCGATTTAGGGCCGAGTATGGGCCCAGGATGCTCGCATTTATTCTCTCCTTTGTCCTTGAACTTTCCAAAAGCACGATAAGGCCATAGACCCTGTTACGCACCATATCCTAGAGTGAAACAGAAACAGACGCCATACATTTATGAGTGAAATTCTCGAGTGCATCAGGTTCAAAACCAAGGTAACTTGTTATTCATAATCAATTACAAATAAATAAAGTCTATTAATACCTTTATTATAATTAAAATTTGAGTAATATTCTAATAAATACTTCATAGTCAAATGATATATAATTGTAAACCAAATCCTCAAATTTCTAATAAGTTCAAAAGAACTAAATCAAGTCTCAATTAAGTCCAAAATGGTTTTAATAAGTATCCATCACACACCCGGATCCCCCAATGTCTTTAGTATTATTACCTGAAATGATAGATAAGGAAAAACGTAAGATATACTCTTAGTAAGTGAATATTAAGCTTCCCTTCTTTATTTATAAATTTCAAAATTAAGCAAGTCGACAGATATAAATCAAGTATCAAGAAAAACTGGTATAAGTACGGGAAATAAAATCAACGTCTCCTCTATAAGTCACAGCCTGCGTTTATAAACCTCCCACTGACGAGCACAAGATTTGCTAGTGTATAATCTCACAAGTAGAATAATAAGTATAACAAGAATGAACTAATTCCAAAAATAACGTGTCGACATGTGCTAATGTTTATAAACCTCCCACTAGCAGCCACAAGTAGAGCATAACTATATTGGAGACTAAAACAGGCTAGCAAATACATTTCAAGAAAACATATATCACAAGGATCAAGCAACATATATTAAGAAATTTCTATAATTGGGTTTGCTTTAATAATTAAAATCCAACTTTGAATAAAATGAGATTCAGTCATGATGACTAAACCAAAACAAGTTCTTAATCTCACCAATATCTCAAAATCGATAAAAATTATGTTTTAAAATTATATTTAAAATTAAGGGTAAAACCATAAATTCACTTATCTTGAATATAGAGATTTTAAATTTGAAATGCGCAAATAATCAAGAACCTAAAATTTACATTTAATATTAATCAACAACAATCCATAAGTACTAATCCTAATTTAACTTAATGATATTTAATTTTATAAGGTTCATATTAAATTTTTTACATAGGTGTCTGCACCTGTTTATTGATTAAAATTGAAGGTGTTGACACCATTGAATCAACTCTTAAACCTGTCATACAATACCCATGTACTACATCGCACAGCACTACAACCCCAACTATTTTTATTCATATTATTTTAATGGACCAGTAGATGTCAACACCTAATCTGTTACCAAGATTAGAGTGTCTACATTACTGCAAATCTCAAACCAACAAGGCGATGGCATCATCGCTACTCATCCTCGCGTAGCAGCACTCACACACAATCGTGTGGGTGCTACTATACGACAACTCATTCCCTCTTTAATTTCTACTAATAAATCAATATATATATATATATGTATTCATAAAATCTACTGCTAATTCAATAATCATTGAGACAAAACATGAAAACTCACCAGATCTAAAATTTTGATGTCAATCTGGGACAAAACCTTAATAACAGGTGTAAAAAGAGATTTGGAGATTACAATATTGGGTTTAGCAATAAAGATCCAAGGAAAGAAGAAAGAACAAGAAATCAAGAGGAACAAATATACTCACCTTTAAAAATCTTAGGGTTGAATTTTAGGAGAAAAAGCCAGCTGGATCTGGGAGGAGGTGTTTACGGCGTAAAAGCAAATTTATTTTTAAAAGGGAATAAGGTTAAGAGGCAGATTTCACATCTGTTTAAATTTTATTTGGGGAAATTAAAATTTTAAATTAAAAAGCATTAATCTCAAATTAAATCTTTAAATTAAACCTTTAATTTAATATAAAACTCTAAGATCATAAATCCCCATAATTGGCAATTAATCCCAGTCATTAATTAGATTATGCACATTTAGTTATATTGATTCCCAAAAATTAGGAAAAATATGTGGGTTATTACAAACCCAAACATTAATGAACCTACATAGACATTATGGAATTTTTTGTCTTTTTATTTTATTTTTATTTTTTTTGTTTTTTTTTTTTTTTCAATCTGCTCTTAAATGATAATAGCCTGAACCCCTATTTACACTCTACATATGTTTTTCTTTTTGTAATCAATACTTTAAATTAATTTTTATCTCAATCAACACTTTTCATAATTTAAAACTTGTAAAAAACTCTAAATTACTAACAAAGTTATAGTGCAAATAGGAGGTTTGACCATAAATTGAAGGTGCAAATAAAAGGATTTAACAGTTAATTATTAAGTTTTTCACATGTTTTAAATAGTAGATGATATCAATCGGGACGAAAATTAGTTTAAAGTATTGAATGTAGAAAGGAAAAAAATGCATGATGCAAATGGGACCTTTGGCCTTGATAGCCTGTATAGGAAGTGGTAAAGAATGAAAAATGTTAAGTTGGTTACTATATATTTATGTTAAAGGGAATGAACGAAAGAGAAATTCTATTATTGTTAGGGGGTGACTTAATAGTTAAGAGTTTAAAATTTTAAATTGAAAATTTTAAATTCAAACTTTGAATCGGGTAGAAAGGGATATAGAGAAAATGTGGGTTATCTTAATTCATCATTATCAAATATACAAAAAAAAAAAAAATTGTATTTCTTTATATTTTCTTTCTCTTTCTTTTCTTCATTTAGATAAATAAATATATTAAAAACCACAAACATTATTGGCACTGCAGAAGGAAGATCAGAGTACGGCAATGGAGACAGAGCGTGGAGACAGGGGACGATACGGCAACGACAAATCGGCAACCGGTTTCAAGGATTTCGTGCATAGACTGCCAGCTTACAACAAGGGTTTACTAAAGCAATGTGTGTCATTCCACTTCTACAATTTTCCTGAAGATTGGGAAGCGAAGCAACTTTTCTTTTTCATTAGGCGAGCGGTGAAAGAAGGAAGACTATGGGATATCTTTATACCGAGTAAGAGGGACAAAAGGGGCAATAGGTATGGTTTTGCTAGGTTCTTGGACGCCAGGGACTATCAGACGATGAAGAAGCAACTAGAAAACATGTGGATTGGAAACAGAAGGGTGATCTTTAACCCTGCAGAGGATAGAAGAGAAGAGCGACGCAGAACGACTTCAAAGCTGTCAGAGAAGGCAAGATGGTAGAGCAACAAAAAAAGGACCACTTATGAAGATCACATGAAGGCAGTTGGAGGAAGCAGACCAGATTCAAAACTGACATACGCTCAATGCATCATGCAACACAGAGAGGGAGGAAAGCCCAGAGAAACAGGAAAGAAAGAACCCACACCATCAGAGGCCAGAGACGCCCGGTGGAGTTTAAACAGAGAATCAAATAAGTTACATGATACTAGAGGTTTCAAGTACAAAAGGTGATAGAGGCAACAGGAACGGACAAGGTGGAAGAGAAGCTGATGAAATGTGATGTCGGGATGGCTTTATCTCCTTCTATCATTCCAAGCCTTCTAGAGATTTTCTTTAATGAAGGATTTCCATCGATCAAAATTGTTCCAATGGGAGGCAACTTTGTGTTAATCAACGGTGACGACCCGGAGAGTATACAGGAGTTGGTAGATGGAAATCTTGAGTGGGTGTCTCACTACTTTGACCAGGTTAAAATCTGGTCACCATCAGATATTGCAGAAGAAAGGTTCGTTTGGGCAAGAATTCAGGGGCTACCACTGCATGCTTGGACTGAAGAAAACTTACTCAAAATTGGTAACCAAGTGGGTAAGTGTGTATCAGTTGACAAATACACTCTCTCTAAGGAGTGTTTGGACGTAGCAAGGGTCCTAGTATCCACCAAATATAAATCGGCAATAAATGAAGAATTTATCCTTAGAGTGAAGGGCAATCGATACAATATTGCTGTGGTGGAGGAGAATTGGAGAAATGATCCTTGGTGGCTGAAGAAAGTACACAACTCCATCACTGAATCAGAAGTGAGTTCATCGAAGTCTAACCCCGGTGACGATTTCGGCGAGTTCGAATGTGACTGTTCAAACGGTCCAAAGGGAGGGGAAATTCAAACTCCACTCAAAGATGTCAGTGGCATTAATTATCCTGACAATTTGAGAGGCTCAAAGCAAGTTGTTGAGGAGAACAGGGAGATAGGTGGCACACTGTCTAATCAGGAGCGGGAGAAACAGAGTGAGGGGAACGAAGACAACCAAACAAGAAGGAACCTCAACAGTAACGGTAAAGTTCCAGTAACAAAAGATCGGGTAGCCCAAGAAATAGCCCAATTTAGAAGCCCAAGTGGTAGCAAATACAAAGCCCAGTGTGATGAACACAAATTGGGGTCAGGCAAGAAGGAGGGCAGCGAGTTTCAAGCTTTTGTAAGCCCAATAAAATCCCCAAACACTGCTGCAGAAATTAGAGTTGAATCAATGAAATTGGTGACTAGAACGAAGCGAGGAAAAAGAAGGAAAGCAAGGGTTCAGCCGATCAATTTTGGGGGGGTAGGTAACACAAGGCTTTCTATCAGAAGGGGATATTGTCTGCAACAACAGAAGAATCAAGGAAAGAATGATCTCCAAGGAAGCAAAGAAGGTGCTGGATCTGGGAAAAAAGATAGGGATCGATGTCAAAAATCGAGAAGAGCTGATTCTGGGAAAATTCATAAGAATGGAAGAAAGAGACAAGCAGGGGTGTGGTCGAGAGATACCAAGGTAGGCTCTCCCTTCGTTTTCTTCTCAGATTTTTTCCATTAATGAAGTTACTGTCATACAATGTGAGGGGATTCGGTAGTTCAGTCAAAAGAAAAGAGGTGAGGAGTCTTCTACAGAAAGAGGGAATTAGCTTTGCTTGTTTTCAAGAAACTAAAATGGAAGTAATTGACAAGGGTTTGTGCTTGTCTATTTGGGGGTGGGATAATTTTGATTGGGTGTTCAAGGCCTTGGTGGGTAGATCAGGAGGAGTTCTTTGTATTTGGGATAAAAAATTTTTTGAGAAAGTATCAGTGGTTGAGAAGCCAAGAGCCTTGGCAATTTTTGGCTTATGGGGAGAAAAGAAGCAAAAGTGTTGCATTGTGAATGTTTATGCCTCATGTAACAGAAACGAAAGAATGGAAACATGGACAGAGCTACTGAAGATGATTGAGGAAGGGGAAGGATTCTGGTGCATTGCTGGAGATTTCAATA